GGGCCTCTGCGTCACAACGTGTCGAGGCGGGGCGCGGAGGGCGCGGGGCCCGGGAGCAGGCGCACGGTGGGTGCGGCGGACGCGGGGACCGTACCTGGCCTGGGCGATGCTCAGCGAGGGTCCTGGGGCACCTTCTCCTCCAAGGTGGAGGCCTGCGGAGCCAACCTCCAGAGGAGGAGGAGGAGGACGCAGCCGCCACGCCGCCTTCACCTGCCGCTAGTCGGACGGGACTGCCACGCCCTGGGCGCGACACGGGTTCGAATCCTGCCGCGAGCCGCCGGGCCTCCGGTCTCCTCCAGCTTCACCCTGAAAAGAAAAAGAGGTGGGGTCCTGAGGTCGCCCGGCGCCAGGTGCGTCACAATGAGGCCCCACGCGGCGCTCCAACGGGTGCCAAGCACCAGGGACCCCTCAACAGACATGTCTAGATGGCACAAGCCGCCTCCTTGCCCCCACCCCCACGGGCACAGCCCTTCCGCGAATGCCTTTGGCTTCTCTCACCACGTGGTGTTGTCGCTTCAGATCTGGCTAGCACATTTTGTTGACACGTTTTCACATATGCCAAGCCAGCGTGGACCTCTTGAACGTCTTTTAAGATGGGATGCTTGCTTCCCTGGCAATTGGAGGAACCACCTGGCTGCAAGGCGAGGTGCACACTGAAAAGCAAAAAACGAGCAATCGAGCAATCAGGGGTCCATCTTTGCTCAACACCCCGCCCCCCACCAAAGAAAGCAGTAAACATCCAAGGGCTGGCTTATCAGGGGCCAGGATGGAAAGGAACGAAGCCTGTTCTCATCCAGTTCCTTCTTTATGAGGATTCTCTCTCCATGCACAGAGATTAGAGCGCTCTCTCCCTCCCGCCCCCCAACACAGAACCTGTCACCCACAAACGGGGGCAAACGGGAGAGGGGGGCTCGAAGGCTTTAGAGCCGCCCGTGCCCTGTTCCTAAAGGAGGCACGACGGCTAGGCGCAGCAGTAAACAGGTTGCTGGGGTAGTGTGTATCTGAAAGCCTCAAAGTTAGAGCCGGCTGTCCCCAGGGAAACAGAGTCGAATGGGGACTCGCTGCTAAAATGGCTGTGGCTTAATCCTGTCACCCCAGCGCGTCGGAGTGGCGTTCGCGGGGCACGCGTGCCGCCCGAGTTGCAAGCAACTGCTCCCAGGTCCTGCACCGGCGAGCCGGCTCGAGGGAGGCCCGGGAGCCCGTGCGCCTGCGGTTCGCTTTAAAAAGAGGGATCGGCTTCCACCTTCCCCGGGATGGCCAGCCACGCAGGTCCCCTCCCCCCGCCAGCCCGGCCGCCGGCTGGGTGGAAGCGATCTCATTACCACATTTGCAACAAGTCGACCGGCTTCCTCGTTGAATCAAAGATAGTTTGTGGTGGTTTGGCAGCCTGCGCGGGCTGGGTTTTTATAGCGATCGAAAACGTGTATTTATTTATTCTGCCATGACTCTGGCCATATGACAAGCATAAGTCAGCCTCTTAGAGCCGGTGATTTATAAGAGCTCCGAAAAGCCCTGCCTTTCAACGTTTTAATAGCGGCTCTCTCATCCTTTGTAAGTGGAAGTGTAAATTGGTACAGTCCTTTTGTAAACAATTCAGTAAGAAGAGTCAAGGGCCTTCCAAATGTTCAGACATTGCAGTGCAGTAATACTTGGGGAATCCATCCTCAGGAAACAACGCTAATCAAGGAAAAGGCTTGATGAGCAAAGATATGCATAGCAGCAAGATATTTACTACAGGAGGACGGAAAAACATTCCCCTCTCTCTTTCTCCCCGCCCCCCACACCCCACCGCTGGCTTCCTGTCTCTCTCCTCCTTTCTTCCACATTTAAGCAGAGCTTCACTAATCAGTCATCCAAGTGAATTATCCAAGGTGCCCCAACCCAGTGGAATATAGGTCAGATACTGCCGCTTTACCCTGACGCAAGTTTGGGAAAATACATCATTGGGAAAGCATTAGAATAGCAAATGGGAAGGCCTCATGCTAAATTGTTTGTTTTTCTTTTTTTGTTTGTTTGCTTTGTTTCTCAAAAGAGCCAGCTATCATGATATTAGTAAGCAAAAAGAGATGGTATGGATGAAGTGACAGTGTGGATACTGGTGTTCTCACCGGGATTTTGTTTTTCAATGGACGTGGCATTCCGGGCTCTCAGGGACTGACTGTTCACTTCCTTGGTTGGGGCAGCGGCATTACAGGGTATTGGAGAAAGTGTGTGTGCAGTTTGAGTGATGTAGGCTGAGGCGTCTAGGAGAGAATGGCTTACTTGACAAGATTTCAGCAAAGAGGGCAGTAACAAGGAAGAGGGAGGCCACTGTGGCTAACAGTTTGGAATCCTAGAGAATGGGGTGTTGCCTCTAAGGGATCAAATTGGCAAAAGCAGCTCAAAAGCTGCAGGGTTTATGTTAATGAGGAAGAAGAACACAGATGAAGGCTGAATGGTTGGGCAACTTAAAGAAAGCCATCAGCATCGCCGAGTGGTATGCGGAGAAATTGTTGGTGTGTGCTGTGTAGATGCTCAACAACAACGAAATAGATACATAATACCATATGGGACCATTACTACAAAAAAAAGTTTAGATAAGTGGTTTTCACACCAAAAAGAAGCCAATATTGAGGGTGACAGAGGCTGCTGGGGGAGGAGGGGAGATGAGGAAAGAGAGGGGGAAGGAAATGAATCAATGAAATTTATTTTTTAAAAGACAGGAACACGCATAGATACACAGATAGTACCATAGATAGATATATAAGTAAATGGATAATAACACAGTGTGTACTGAAGGAAAAATAGAAAGGAAAACAAAACCCTCATTGTTAACCGACAGCTCATAACAATAATCAAAATAAAATAATAGGATATTGTTGATTTCACTTCTTGAGATGGGTTGTAAATATATATAGTATGTTTCTTAAAAACTTTATCCCTCCTCAAACCTAAATCGTTTGAGTGGCTCTTAAAAAATTTTTTTAAAAAGCTTGGATAAACTTGAGCGACAAGTTTATCTCAAAAATAACTAAAATTCAAATCATAAAGAAATATGACTAAAACACAGATGAATAATATAAAATGAATGGATTTGGGTAAGTGGGATTTCAAAGTTTGAAATTTTTTAGAATAAAAGGTGTTCATGGTTGTCTTTGGGCAGTGAGATGGTTATTATCCACTCCCTGTTTTATCTGTACTGTACTAGGCTCTGGTGCATCTGCAATCCAACAAATTGGCAATTATTTCCCCAAAGAGTGATCTTTTCATTGCTCCTTAAACTCTAGTGGAATCCTCTGAATCCTAGGATAAGCCTGTGGACCTTAAAAATATTCACTTGTAAATAGTCAACATCATCTCTTTGGGACAGCACCCTGCTATCTGAAACCATTCATTTGATCAGCTGATTTTGTTAAAGGTGGGGGTGGGGGGGCAGCTGCAAGGAACCATTTTGAAGATTAGGAACCATTTAAACAGGCACAGCGCGCACACACCTCTGGTCTCGGAAATACAAAGCGGCCAGCAAACTGCTTTCATTTCTAAGTTTCTCCAAGCGATCGCGTAAGCCGGGCGAGCCTTGCCTGCTGCCACGCTGAGTCAGAAGCAGCCTCCTCGTTCCTTAATTAGCAGCATCAGAAAGCGCCATTTCCTGCTGAAGAATTTCCCAGTTCATCCACCTCCCCAGTTGGATCCACTCATCCCCACCCCCACCCCTGTTCCCCAGCTCCAGTAGCGGATTTCCACAAAGTCTGGCAATGTTAGGTTATTTGATTGACTTGGGGGAGGGCGCGGGCGGTGGGGGGGGGGGCTTGTTTTCTTGGGTCATTTCACTAATTCTTCTCTGATGTTTAGAGATTGGAGATGTCCTTGGTCAGACAGCGTGCATATTACACTTCATGGACACCCTGTCTATACACCCTCAGATCGAAGTTGGAGGCAGAAGGGGTGGAAACTTGACCAACCTGAAAATGAGCAGCTTTCTTGGTTATTAATAGTTAAACAGCTCAAAGTGCAGAGCCAGCGTCTTGTCTGCTTTAAAAAAATAATAATAAGTTTATGATTTATCAAAGTACGGAGCCAGTTTCTTGTCTGCTTTAAATAATAACTTAAGTTTATGATTTGTACTAAAGTTGTTATTAATAATATGATTTATCTTAAAGCTCCCTTTGCAAAAGCATCAGGAAGGATTTCCAAAGGAGATTACACAGTTTTCCAATGCAAGCTATTGGATCACATCTCAGAAGGCACCCTAACTGAAAGGCCAAATTCTCCACAAACATTTTCTCCTTGCAAATATTGGATTAAGCCATTGTAGCATTTATTTACCTGGAGCTTCAGAGGTCTTACAGAAATGCAAAAGAACTTTAATCAGGTGATTTGTCAGATGGACACTTAGGAAATATTTGGAAAATCTGTGTGTGTGTGTGTGTGTGTACACTTAAGGGGTCTCAGATCTGTACTTGGACACATCACTGTTTTCCCTGCTTAAAATCTTCTTTCTAGACCGTAATCTTTTCAAGGAATGTGTTTCTTCCTTAACCTCCAGGTCAATAGATTTATATTTGTTTTTTATGAAGTATCATACCCATAAATAAGAGGACAGATCAGAGAAGCTCATGATCCTAACAAGGGTTTTCAAAACAGTGAGTGGAAAAATGGAATTAAGAGATAATGGCATTTTTCTACCAACTTTTTGAAGCACTGCAGCCCCACCCCCACACGCCCATACCCCAAGACAAAAAAACAAATGTTTGTATCAGTGAGAAACTCAGGGGGGCAAAGACGCTTGCTTCACTTAGAACTTGTTTTTCTTCTGAAGACATTGCCAGCCTCTGGGGACTTCTGAGGCTACTCTGTGGGGTAGACCAACCTTTGGTTTGATTTCTTGAGAATAAGAACCTTCCCTCTTCTTCTTCTGAGCTCAGAGAGAGTGAGGGCCCTCTAACCATGCATGATAATTATGCTGAAAAATATATTTTTAAATATCAGTGATGTTGAGTTGAACTCAGAGTTAGCTACATTGACTTATTAAAGAGAGTGTAAAAGATAGATTAGATAGATGGATAATGGATGGATGGATGGATGGGGCTATAGATAGATGATAGATAGATAGATAGATAGATAGATAGATAGATAGATAGATAGATAGATAGATAGATAGATACATAGATACATAGATACATAG